GGGGGAGCTGTCCTTCCTGTAGAGGTCTCTCTGTAGAGATGGGAGACGGCTAGATCGGAGGCGGAAATGAAAATTTTCATCCCGAACTGTTGAAGACAGAAACGAGCGCCGGAGAAGTTCAGGATCAAGTATCATGCAAATCCGGAGAAGTAGCTGAGAGACTTAGACATCGACACCTCCGTACTTTGCTCTGGAGACGGCACAGGGGCCTCAAAACGGGAACGAAGGGGCAGATGCGTCGAATCCTTTTTTTTTACTCGGATTCGATCATTGATTGTCTTTTCCCTCTCCGTAACCACGGAATCTTTAGGAAGCTATTGCGCCGCGATTCCCTGACAGGCTATTGCCCGAGAGTGGGAGGAAGCGACATAGAAGAGGAGGAGCTCGGCAGACTTCTCATCAATTCTCTGCGAGGCTCCCGGCTGCTGAGCTCGCCCATTGAGACCACCATCACTAAAACCTACCTTCGCTGTCGGCATGCTCCCGAACTCGTTCCCCCCAGGGCCCGTTCTGTGCTCAACGCGTGCTGGTTGCGATCGCTCGTGCCATTGTCGCCCGCGAGTGTTTTGGAATTTATTTCCATTCCGTGTTCCGGCGATCGGTTTCCCCCGACGGGTGGACATTGATTTTCGTTGACGCCGCAGAGCTTCCCTTCGAGCCGCAAACCATTAACCCCTAATCTCGCGCATTGATCTCTCTCTCCCAGAACTCCGATAGATCACCCCGGAGCTTTGTCGACGCGTAGACCTGCACGAGGATGCCGGGGGAGGGGGCTTCTGCGGTTCATTGAATATTTTGCGATGCATCGAACGAATGACCATCGCTTCGGCTCCCCTCGGGCATGGGATGCTCGACTAACATAAGAGTGTTTGAATATACCACCATAAAAACCAGAGCTCCGGAAGCGCTCGTCGATGCAAGGAATCCCTCGGATTCACGAGAGTTGGATAACTTTGCATGCGGACGACCGCGCTGCCTCAGCAAGGATCAGGGAACGCTCGTATCGGACTGATACTTTTCCCCGGATAGAGAAGAGACAGGACACCGAAAGCCACCCACCCATCAGGCTGCAGAGCCGATGATGATGCGATCCGTTATCATCCATCCTGATCTACCCGAGCCTGAGTTGCGGGACTCGCCGCGAGTCTTTCTCTCTTTAATGACGATGATAATGTGATATCTGTGAAAGCTAACGAGAACTAATCCATCGGAATCGTCCGTCGTACAATCGGTCCGTCGCTATACTACGGGATCGTTTTATTCTTGTGGCGCCTCCCTACAATTTTTGACTCGTCATCCAGTCCGCGAATCGATTCGTTGGCGTCCTCGATTTGGACATACCGTCCCCGGAATTTTGGAATTTCTCGCCGGAGAATTTCCGGATTCCGCGCGGGAAGGGGATCTGGCGGAAAATCTCGGAGAAATACGTCATTGGAGATCAGCCATAGATCCGGCAATTCCGCATCGTCTTTCGGAAGCTACGAAGCTCTCCAGTACGGATCTCTTCCGAACATCGGCGCAATGGTTCCGACGCTCGTACGAGTCTACGGGAGAGGTTCCGTACGTACATGTATTTATCTACTCGTGAGGGCAGACATCGATGCCCTTCTCTTAATATCTCAGTCGGCGATACTCAATCTCTGCCATCCACAGACCCCGGGAGCGAATGTACACGAGAGCTGCATGAGTATACACGTAATCACGTACAGACGGCGGATCTGGGGAACGGGGCTGACGGCGATTGCCCATCTCCGGAGTTCCGAAGAGCTTATGCTGCCCAAGTTGAGGGTGAACTCATGCATCGATACGCTTCCCTCTCCGAGCATTGACGGTCGAACCCGAATACCTAATTGCCACAGTTTTTCCCCTCGGAGGAAGGTTCTGTCGAGTCCTTTAGAGGCGGGATACTCCTGACAACAATTGTCTTTGTCCATGAGCGATATCACACACGCGAAAGCTTCGTGAGCGAGCTGTTCTCATTCATCGAATGCGTCTGTCATTGAGCATTCTCCCACAAGGAACAGGGAGCATCGTATTCTGCTATTGTTTTTTTTCTCATGGCGAGTTGCGGGGCACCGAACTGCGCGGTGCTCGATACCGTGTGTGAATCTTGTGGCACGGTGCCGACATGGGCGTAGTAATCTTCCATCGAGCTCGAGTGTCGTTTCGGAGAATGGGTCAGCTATATGTACTTCGCGAAGTCTTACTGAGAGAAGGAGCTCCCGCTCTGATAAGCGATTCCGGCTGCATAGAAAAACGGAGAAGGCTCGCAATATTCCGGAGTGCCCGAATGGGTCATCGTTGCAGGATGGCGCGGATCGATGGAATCGCCCGGGAAAGCCTTTCCCTCCGGGTAGGATCCCCTCTCAGCCCGTGCATTCTCCTCCGGAAGATATTCTTCTTTTTGTGATTCTCTTGCGGGTCTGCGTGTCTGACCGAAAATTCATCCTTGATCCGTGACCATCTACGATGCCATGCTTCCTGGTTCAGAATCGGCTTCAAAACTGTAGCAATGATTTCGTCGCACGATAGGATCCGTTTCCATAAGGCAGACCGGAAAGAGACGGGACTGAGGCGTCGTCGATGGAGTCGAAGCGTCCATGATTGCGGAAGCCCTCCCTCCTCTAATCGGAAAATGCGCTCTACAGGGAACAGGGTGGATGCTTTAGGACTCACGGACTCATAGGGTCTCCGTGAATCCTCTCAGGATATTACGCAACGCGGCCTTCTCCAGAGAATAGAGGAGCTCCTGCCCAAAGGGCACAAATGACCCCAGCCGGTCTCGCCGGTATGCCCGCTCCGTCGCTCGCGACGGGGCCCTTGATTTTCCTCTCCTACTCACGATCTCGTCTCAGTACGGCTCTCCTGCTCATCGCATGCTGTTGGATCCCGCTGATCCTCATTCTCAGTCGCCCCATCTCGAAGAGTGCGATTCTTTCGCAACGTCGACTCTGGAATGTTTGAGACCGGAGATTTTACCACCTTCACATCCACAGCATCCGTCTGCAGAGAGAGGCAAGTCAACGCTATTCTCCAGCCACCGAACCACCGCGATCTGGCGGAGACTTGGGAGAAGGGAGTCGGGCTCGTGTCAGAGCACTACACTCTAGACCTGTGACGGACTCGACAAGAAGTGGACCTCAACTCACAATTTTATCCGATTGATCACTGCTGTCGTGTAATGTACCTCGACCCGATCAAGCTCTCCACCTCTGAATGGAGACAAGCTCGGCAGAAAGCGCAGCCGATTTCTTGCTTCTGTCGTTCCGTGCGAGAGGTGGGTAAGACGGGACTTCGCAAGTCAGAGATGGATATCGGTATCGCGGCTGATGTGTTCAAAGGTCGGAGACAACTCAAGCTGCCTGACATTGAATCGAGGTGGATCCGAGGACGAAAAAGGTTCACAATGAAACAAGGACCCGCCCCAAGACGAGGCATCATCATCATCAACATCCTTGAAAATGACTATTGAGAATTATTATACAGGGGCCCCGGAGCAGGCGACGCGTAAGGGAACTCCTCCCTGTTTGTTAGCAGAGGGATGTCGGTCCTTAAGAATTCTCGCGAAAGAGTTGAGGACGTGGCTCGCCCACAATGGGGCTCGACATGGAAGACATCAATAGGAGATCATCTTAAAGAAGTTCTGCTAGTGGTCCCTATCCCCTGCGTGCGTTACGAGGTAGCGATTCCCCCATCCGCTTGCCTGTCTGAATCATTCGTGAGACTCGCTCAGTCAAGAATAGGCTCAGATTAGCATCAGTTTAGAATCGATAATTTCATAGAATCAGCATGGGGCTTGGCAACGTTCGCTACTGCCCGCTCACTGTTCATTCTAATTCATTGACTTTCCGCACGAGTTCTTCGCGCGCGGGAGGAATTAGAGAAGTCCGAGCTCCCGGAAATTCCCGGATGTCCCGAGCTCTCTCGGGGGGATCATCGAGCCAGGATCAAATCACTTCATCGGCATCGGCACCAACAGTGAGCGGCCGACTTTGTAACCGAGAGATTAGCGAACATTCCCATTGAGTAGCTTCGTTCCCTCCGTAGGGGAGGCGAAGATGTACCCACACATGAAGTCTGCGTCCCGCCGGCCGGTGCAGGGGCAACTCGGTGAGTGATGATGACGATGATCCGCGCATACGGTCCCGACGAAGTGCGGCGGTCTATTCCGCTCCTCCGAGCTTCAATTTCCAGACGTTGGAACAATAATCCAAATGATTATCATGATGATTCCGAAGTCCGCGACTGGCGATAGGGGATTTCAGTTCGTCTTGCTCCTCAATCAAATCGCTTATTCCAACTTCAAGCTGGCTGATGTCGCTTTTCTTTCGTTTCCATTGCAGTGCAATTTCGCTCCTTCCAGGAAACGGGGGATTCCTGGGAGGAATATGTCTCTCGAGGAATCGGGGGATGATTGCTGGGGGTGGGATTCAAGGCTACTTGAGCGGAACAGCAGTCGAGGGCAGGAACGAATCCAAGACCGAGGAGCAGCGTTTCTCAACCCTGCCTTCGAGAGTACTCCTCTCGTGATTTGCGTATCCGATTTCATCACTGTGGTGTCCTAAATCAAAATCCAGTCTCTCTCTAACTATCTTATGGCACGACTCTTAACGGCGAACGCCGGGCGCTCGAACCTTCGAAACCGGAAGAGAGTCACGATAGACTAATTTTGAATATGAGGCGCGGTTCGGGAGAATCCCGAGAGTGAAGCACGGATCGAGAGACTTCTCAGCAGGGCCGCTGCGGAAAACCTCGGCGACCAGTCACCGTACTCCTCATAGCCGTGCTGCGGCAAACTTTCGTGAGCCTCGGAATGTCGAAGAAGCCGTAGTGTTGTACTACGGCCGACTTCCGTAGGATATTGATGAGGCCGACCCGCGACCCTCTTTCCCCCGGCGTTGATGTCTCTCCGCGTGTCTTGGCGGGCGCGCCGACGACGACCGAGGGAGGCTTCTATGAGAAGACTTCGCTCGTTGCTAGTTTGTTGTTTTGATGGGAGTGCGAGGCCGCGCCGTGGATATTTCGTTTCACTCCACGACCAGAACAACAGTGCGAACGTGTGTCCGTGTCTAGCTCAAGTCTTCGGAGGCTAAGTACGTGACTGAGATCCGGAGCTGTTGTCAGCACGGAGCCAGTGAGCTCATCGGAACCGGCTTGTGTCCCGGCGCCATGTACAATGGGATCGGGCTCCAATCCTCTCGCGGGAGCGGCACCAATGGCTACGTTCAACGAAATCTGGGTTTCTCCAATCGCGTCCCTCAGCAAGTGAAGTACAGATCGGAGCGGGACATCGAGAAACTCGAAGGCGAACTCAAGCAGGGACCGAGTCAGGAGATCCTCGACCATTACAGACGGCGAAAAATTGAGCTCGATCTCGCCGAATACGAACAAGAACTGGTCGATGCGGGTCTGTCACAGGACGAAATCGAACACAAGGTTAGCCGGTACCGTAAGAAACTCGTGGAGGACGATGATCTTCAAATTAAGAAGCAGCAGCAGAGGAACCTAGCCTCGCTCAAGGACAGCCACGAAATCGCCGAAGCGAACCTGATGAAGAACGACAGACTCCGCGACGCTCTCGGCATCTCGAACGATTTCGTTGACGGCTCCTCGTTCGATCAGAACGCGAGACGAGAACGGAACGAGAAAGAGCGAGCCGAACGGGAACTCCAAAAGCAGAAGCGACTCCAGACCCTCGTTCCTATGCACGAAGAGGAGGGGGCCGAAGTCGATCGCAAAGACGACAAAGAGATCTCCACGTCGTCCAAGTCAAAGTCCAAATCCAAGAAGAGGAAATCCAAGTCGAAGAAACGGAAAAAGAAGGACGCCAAGAAGAAAGACAAAAAACGAAAGAAGAGGAAATCCGCGAAGCCGAGCTCATCGTCATCGAGTTCCTCTTCGGACTCTTCGTCGTCGAGTTCGTCATCGAGTGAATCCTCCGATTCGTCCGATGACGACGACAGCGGAAGCAGCAGCAGCAGTGATAGCAGCAGTGAGGAAGACAAGAAGAAGAAGAAGAAGAAGAGAAAACGTAAATCCAAGAAACGCAAGGAGGACAAACATGCCGCGAAAAAGAGGAAGATCTCTCTCAAAGGCGAATCGAAATCGAAACCTCCGAAAAAGCGTTCACCGTCGAAGTCGAAAGATGCTGTCGACGTCGAGGAGGACTCCTCCGCGAAGACTCAAAAACATCAAAGCAGGATGGATCGGTCTGCCGAAAAAGAACTCCGGGAGCCGCAAAGCCATAAAGCTCGTCACGATTCCAGCCCGGACGAAGAGTCGAAAAGGAGACGCGAGGATAAATCCCTTAAGCCCGAATCGAGGAACCGACATCCGAGTGAAGACAGGGGCAGGCGACAACGTGAAATGCATCACGATCGCAATGGAGACAGACATCGGCACGACAGAACTGCGAACGAGCATCCGGCTCGTCGAAATGATAGGCGATCCGATCGGGACCGTTCACCTATCTACTCGCGTAATCAGTCCACCAGGCAACGATCCCCACCGGCAACGCAGAAGCATCGCAGGAGAGACTCATCGTCCGAGGATGAAGGCGATAGAGACCGCAAGCTGAACCGTGGGCTCCACTCACGACATGAACTCGGGCCGCAAAGCAAGGGATCTCCCCCAAGACGCCGCAACAGAGAGTCGTCCCGCGAAGACAGTGATCGCGAGCGCCGCGAGAGTCAATCGAGGAAAGCAACGGTCAAACCCAAGGAAGCATCTCCCCCGATAACTAGACGTCAGAGGAGAGATTCATCGGACGACGAGAGCGAGAAAGAGCAGGAGAAAAACCGTCAGAGCGAATCACGCGACCGAGACCCCAAACCCGTGGAGCGGTCTCCTCCGGCGGCCAAGAATCAAAGACGAGATTCTTCTGACAGCGACGAGACTGAACCGCAACGCTTGAGCGAGGCCCATCCGCGTCCGGAGGCTCTTCGGTCTGCAGAGAAATCACCGCCAGCTACCCTTAGTCGGAGGAGAGACACTCCTAGCGACGACAGCGAAGACGAACAAAACGTCAGCGGAGAACCCATAGCCCCCCCTGGGACCACAGAAGCCCACGAACAATCCGAGGCGGATCGCCCTCGACACAAGTCACCGAGTCCGAGCCGATCGCCGATTTGCATTCCCCTCCCGCCTCGAGAGACCCTGGCCGCCTCGGTCCTGGGCAGACAGGCCCGGAGCCCATCCGAAGAGACATCCAAGCCCGGGCCTGGAGGTGAAACTGTGCATCGCATCGATTCCATTGCTCCCGCGCCGGGAGCCGGCTGGCCGCAGAAAGAGCGAGAGAAGGAGCGCAGCAGGAGTCGCAGCTCGGGCCACGACGAGCCCAAGGCCCGGAGCGTATCGAAGGAGAAAGCCAGGACGTCCAGCGAGGAACGCGACGGCAAGAAACGAAGCGTCTCGAGGGATAAGAGGAGCCTCTCCGGACGGAGCTCCTCGAGCTCCAGGAGGAGGCGTCGGAGCCTCTCCAGAAATAGATCACCGGGCGCGAGGAAAAGGAGTCCGTTGAGGGGCCGAGGAGGTCGCAGTCCTGACCGGAGGAACCGGAGCAGGTCGCGCGATCGGCGGGACCGGAGTCGATCCCGGGATCGGAGGGATCGGAGCAGATCCCGAGACCGAAGGGACCGGAGCAGATCTCGTGATCGTAGAGACCGTCGCAGTCGATCCCGGGACAGGAGAGACCGGAGCCGATCGCGAGATCGGAGAAGTCACCGTAGTCGATCTCGCGACTGGAGGGACCGCAGTCGCTCCCGAGACCGCAGAGATCGCAGCAGGTCTCGCGTGCGAAGAGACCGAAGTCGGTCCCGTGATAGGAAATTCGTGGGGCGTTTCAACCGAGACAGAAGGTGGCGCAGCAGGTCCCCCGGCAGACGCTATCAAAACCGTTACGCGTACGGCAAACAACGCTCGCCGTACCGTTTTAGATCACCCGCTCAACGGAGAAGATCTCCTTTCAGAAAATCCCCGATTCGTTCGCGTTCGCCGGTCCGACGAACTTCGATGTCGCCGATCAGACGAAGTCCCGTGTCGCCCGTCCGAGCTTCGGGCGGGAGTCCGTCGAGAAGATCTCGAGAGCCCAAAGTCGACCCCGGGTCGGGCTCGCTCGCGAGGAAAACCTCCCTGACCGCGCGGGCCGCATCTGCGGCGTCGGATAAATCCTCGACGGCCGCTTCGCCGAAAGCAAGACCGAGGAGAGATTCCTCCTCGTCATCGTCGTCGTCATCGTCTTCGGCATCTTCCGGCGATTCGAAGAAGACGTCGTCCACCGACAGTTCTTCTTCCAGTTCGTCGTCGGGTCGCTCCCGCTCGAGCAACAAAGACAAACAGCAGCGCAAGAAGCCGAACACCGCCGCCACCGCCGGGTCACCATGAAGTCCAAGAAAGAGAACTCATCGCTCCCTGGTTTCGTTCCGGAGACGTATCGGATACTGACGGAACCGTAGTGAGAGCGCTCGATTTGCTTCCGCGAGAACCGACGATTCCCGTCAGAAGCCCTACATTGTAAATTTCTTCCCGCTTATAACATAATATCAGTAACTAGCGAACTGAGAGCACGAGCTGCTCGCTCGAGTCTCGAAAACCGCCCACATATCTTTAATCATGGAGTTTCTCTTATTCGCTAGCCACATGAATAAAACATCGGCTTTCAATCGAATCTGCTTTCGATATCAATTACGCCTATTTCACCCGTTCCGCAGTTTCGTCCTCGCAGAATATTTGTCGAATCATAACCCGACATGAATCTACATATAAGCCATCCTCAAATTTCTCGAAGCGGACCAGCAGGTACCATCGAGAACTATCGTTGAAATCTTTCCAGCGCTCTCTTCGGTAACAGCGGTCCCCCCGATCCCCCCTTCAGTCTGAGCGACTCTGACCCATGCGTGGTTTGAGCTTCTCGAGTTTTCAGGAATCGCGAAATCGACTCGAAAACTGCCGCGCGAATACTGCTCCGTCCTCCCCGCGCTCGACGAGCAGCTTCTGCTCCTCCGAAAATGTCGCTGAACGGAATAAGCTTCTATGCCGAGAGGAGTCGTGCCGTGTGTTCGAATCTCGGGCAACAAAACACTGCTCTCTTCCTCCACTCCTCCGGACACAGAGTAAATTCGAACATCCAGGACGGTTTCCACGAGAACAAAAACACAGAGAGTGGATTCGTCACCGGAATCGACGCCACGGAACGATGTGGAAGCTGTCGTGATATGGAACTGTGATAATTAGTGCTATCTATTCGGATGAACAGCGTCTGACCGACTGTAGATACTTCACGAATTCCCGCTATGTCTTTGGAACAGACAGCTTGTGAAGGTGAGCTTCGCGATGATTGGGTTTCCAGCCCGAGCCCGGAAATATGATTCGTTTCCGAGAATAATCTTCCCAGATCAGCTCTCTGGTATTATCGATAAGACGGTTTTCGCTAGCGATCGAACTCAGTCTGGCCTCCCTCATTCCAGACTTGAAAGCTTTTGAGCGACGTCTCACTGAAATCGTCCAATTCCTGCAGCCGCCGACGACGCAATGGCGGGTAGCGCTGGCTGGAGTTTTCATTTGCGCTCTGTTCGGTGAGTTGCCGACCGGAATTTTCGCTCTAGGGATTTGAGCGGTGAGCGAGTTTATGTTCTCTAAAAATCAGGAGTAACGAGCGGACTCCTCCGCAGGTGCGTATAAGTGGGTCTTCGACCCTGAAACGTCGCGGGTATCCCTCTCGGAATCGCTTTGGATCCATTGGTTCTTCTCGCTGTCCGTGGCACTTTTGCTAATTCTTTTCGCTTGCGGTGTACATCGACGGGTCGTCATGCCACAAATCATCATTCAGAGAGCCCGGACGGTCCTCTCTGAGTTCAACCTCAACTGCGACGACAACGGTCGCCTCATTCTGAAGCCGAGGCCTCAACAGTGACTGGACACTTATCGAACGGTCTGCGCCTCGAGAAGCTTCGTCCTCTTCGATCCGGAGCGGATTTCGACCGAAGCCCAATATGGATGACCGACGCGAGTAATTGTTTTTTGGGGAAATGCGCGGAAACAGACAAAGTCACCGCGGCTCCCTGAGCAGGATGTCGCTCGCCCCGATGTGCAGATGAAGCGTTTCGCAGATCATAAGCAGAAGATTTTGCACAAAGATTTAAGATAATAATATACCTATAGAGAGAACTCACACGATTTCAGGATTTCCTTTATCATCTCAATAGGAAATTCAAGAAATGATGAATAAAGTGAGTTTTTGTTCCGAAAAAAAACTGCCTCTCCGATCCTCATCCTGCTCTTGAGACCCTCCGAGACCAGGTTCTCGGGGGGAGTTCCATGACGCGATTGGAGATCGGAATTGTTGGCGCGTGAAAGTAGTGATACGCCTGGCGTGAACGTACGTGGCGGCGAGACGTCTGCTGACTCGGATTTATTACAGAGTTTCTTTCCGGAAGGTTGACGCTTTCCAAATCCGCAATCGGAAGCTCCCATCGACCGCAGCTACCAGCAGCAACCTGCGTACTGTTTCCTCTGCCTTCAACCGTAATCAGTAGTCCCCAGGTTCCGTTCACAAAGAAGCACCGTGTTCGAATCCTTCGGTAGGGACCCTTTGTAGATCAATGTCTGGCGGTCATGGGAAATCAGCTGATCGTAGGGTTCGGGGTCACGGGTGGTTGCAGAATTCTTTCTGAATAAGATTCCAGTGAGCTGCTGTCGTTGTCCAGGGGCGATATTTCAACACTGACTCATCCTCGCAGGTAGAGTGTCACACACCGATAGCGGACGCGATAAGAGAAACGCCGGATGCCTATACACCCCGGCGGCCGAAGCTGACGCTCCCGTGGCTTCAATCGCGGCGACATGCGCGCGCCCAGAATATAGTGAAGTTTCGTAAAATAAAATGTTTTCTATTGATGATATCCGATGGCTCTTCGACGTCAATGATCACAGGCGACCGGATAAACTACTGGGAACGTCTTTCCGTCTCACAAGTTCTCTCTCCTGAATACTTGGGGGGTTTCGTTCAAATACAGATCTGATTCTACCCACTCTGGGCCCTAGTTCCGATCTGAGCAACACCAGGAATAAAGGTTCGCGGGAGTGAGATTCAAACCGGGTCTGTGACATTCAGCTGCGATTCCGGTCGAGAAGAAGAAGTCGTCTTTCCGAAATGTTGAAATCGTTTCTACTGCTGGAGCTACTCGTGATCATCTGCGTGAGTTCAAGCTCTGTGAGGATTATCCCCTCACATACCCACCCCGTTCTTCCAAGGTGTCCAGAATTTTTCCCTTCTCGTTTCGAGTCCTTTGCCGAAATATTCACGACGCCTTCGACATTTTCAGGACGCTCAGAATGCCGCATACTTTCAACATCCGGATGAAGTTCTCAGAACGGTCCCAGAGCCGAGTGCCGCAGCTATAGCGAGAAGGGCTCTTCGCGGTCTGTCAACGTCTGAGGTAAGCGCTAGCAATCAGCCCAAGCCCCACCATTCACCTATGAACGATTTCCTATGGCCAATGTGCCTCGATCCCTGTGGATCACATTTCCACGAGTGATCATAATCATAATTCATAAATAATTATATTACACGACGATCTCAAGGTCATAAAAGGTGTCTACCCGACGCTCCCAAAGCCTCAGAGGAAAATCATCGCATCGAGGAACGAGCCAGGAATCGAGAAGCTCCCGGCGCCGGAGAGTCTGCGGCTTTTGGAGCCTCCCTCCGGCGACGGCCTTCCCGTTCAGAACTCGGGTACTCCACGAACCCCTCTGTCGAGCCCGATCCAGAACCCCTCGATAATTCGGGCTCCACCTGCCGTTAATATCAGAATTGTGCCGCTGTCTCCTCCGCGTCAAGAGCCGGCACCGAAGCAGAACACTGTCGATGTGAACGTCTTTCCGAAGAATTTCCAAAGTCAGAAAGAGCGGACCCTCGCTACTCGGATCCCGCCGCCCGCAGTGAATATCGGGCCTGCCCCGGATCAAGCGAGATTCGCCCCGGAGCCAAGAGCAGACTCTGAGCCCCAACAAGAGCCCAGAAGAGTCGAAGAGTCTCGGGCAGACGATAGCGACGACTACTACGAATCCTATGAATTCGGCTACGAGATCCGAACTCCTGAGGGTAGGTCCGTTCGAATCGAAGCCTTGAAGGATCGATGATCTCCCTCTAACATCCAGTCTCTGTAATCCCACTTTCCTAACTGAGGAATTTCTTGAAGGCACTCATTCGCACGAGGAGCGCAAAATTCCGACGGGACAGGTGTTTGGATCTTATAGCATGGCTTTGGCCGACGGACGACAACGACTCGTAACCTACAGCGCGGATGGAGACGGTTTCCACCCCATCGTCGAAACCAACGAGCTTGGCACCCTGACGTCTGAGCCAGCAGACGCGAAGATCATCTCCTCAGCGACGTTATCGACCGCTGAACCACTCGCGAAAAAAATTAGTCCGGTCCGGATCCCTAAAGGAGTCCGGAGAGTCAGGAAAACAAAAACGAAGAGAACCTCGAATTGAAGAAGATAGGCAACAAATTTGACTTTATCATCCGGCCTTTGACAATATGTCTGCCGTTTACCTTGTAAATAGCTAAAAAGCAGATCACGGACGTCGATGCTAGCAAGGAAGAAATCCTCCTCCGTGAATCGCGCGCAAGTTATCGAGCGGAGTTCGGACTCGTATTCGCTCTTGAGATGTATTTATTGAGACCAATGAGAGTGTCAGAAGGCAACCTACGACCATAGGCACCGCGAGCTGTGATTTTCTACGTCAGGACGCGACGATCAGTCTGAAATAAATAAAGCTTTATTCTGGAAGGTTCACGGATGTGTTATTCGACTCATCGCGGTTGTGTTCCCCTCCATTCCTCCATCTCGACAGTACCCAGATTCCCCACCTGCTTCAAAGAGCTCCATGGCGACGGTCCATCCGTCGCTCAGCACGGCAACGCTCCGCTCCCGCGTGGCGGGCATCATGATCGTGTCTTAAGATGCTGCTTAAGCAACCCTCATGCCGATTTCTCGCTCAAATTCTGCTCGTCGAGTCACGTCGATCGTATAGGCGGAACGAACAAAATGAGTAATGAGGAACGGGTCGGATAATTGATCGGAGACCGAGCCATTGCTCGATTTCACAGAGATATTTCCGGGAGTGCGAAACTTAGGAAGTCGCTCCGAGAAATATTATTGGGCTCACCCGAAAGCCTTGTCATCTCATTGAATTCTATCTGATCCAGGCCAATGACGCATATCTGAGAAGGGTAAATATACGGGCTGCTACTTATATTGATAAGGAGGGAGGATAGCAATATCGTTCGCCGCTCATAACGCAGGTTGCAGAGCATCGTGATGCGATCACTAATTGGAGCACCGATGAACAACCGTATGTCGATCTCAGGAAAACGGCACAGGACCGCAGATTCCGGGAAGATACGGTATTCATGCCGCCGTGAGAAAGCGTCGTTTCAACCAATGGGAGATGGCTAGCGCGCCGGCCACCAGACCATTGAGGAGCTGCACGATGGTGATACCGATGCAAGCACCTAGACTCCCTCCTAGATACGCAATCACCTTCTCGAACTGTAAGAGGTGGTGAGTGCCCATCAATTATTATTTACAATGGAACAAGTCGGATTCGACCGATGCAGCAATGCTGGCTCGACTCACAGAGATTGCAGGATGATATTCGAGATGCTCAACGCTGTTGGTCGCGAATCTGAGGACGACTTGGAAGGACGTCTCCCTATGCGCGGGGTCCACATCTTTCATCCCAGACATCCGCGCTAAACGTAAATCATACCTCACTTCGCTGGAAAATTAGTTCAAGCTGGATAGAGAGCTCCCGGTACCTTCAACCGTAGACCTATTGGGGATGAAATTATTTTCAAGATACTAACCGGCAGGCTTTGCGACAAAGTTCGAAGCAGTTCGCAGAAGCAGACGAGTTCGAAACGAGGTCCCGACAATATTCGATGCCACGCTCGATATCAGCACAAATCTCATGCCTCATGTTAGCGATGAATTCATGCCCGAAGGACACGCACCCGCATGCCTGCAGCTCAGCGCGAACGAAGCAATCTTGGAGACAAGACTCCATGCTATGATATCCATTGAAGATGTGCTGCCGGGATGCGGAATAATTAAACGAGGAGAATAGATGGTCTCGTTTATTGCTTTTTGAGATTCCAAAGCCAGAGCAAGCGGACAGCTCACCTGATAACCCATTGCGTGGTAGTCACGGCAATTCGACTCGTAGGGCGCTTTGAGGCTTTTCACCACTTGTTGTTTCATTGCGATCTCGTGGCTGAATCCTCTTCGCAAATCAATCTGGATGTTTTCGGTCATTGGCGATATACCGGATTCGAGGACGATCAGGGGAATTCTCTCAGTGCGCACGAGGACAAGCGCTTCCCTCGGGTTTGCGGAAACCAGGAGATCCACTCCTAAGATATCGATAATCTGGGTCAATGATCCATCATGCAGGTCGAGCGCTGAATATTCGGAATCGTGAAAAACCGACGTCGGTTCTCTGACAATCGAAATCACCGTAAGTAGACAAATGTCCGCATTTGAGCGAAAGTCCACTCCTGTGCAAATCGAGGGTGTAACACATCTGTATCGGTCGTCGAAAAGAGCTGAGCTGTATACTGAAACGATGCTGTGAGTATGAGGAGCCTACAAGAACGGAATTTAACTCGAATTGTTGTCGGGACGAAGACCTACTGAGGAGCGCAATCGATGATTTCGGAACAGGTGGGATCGGATGAGTACAGCTTGCACTCGAATAGCTCTGCTGGCCTGTTGATAACATATTTGAGATTTTCAACTGGGGACTGGACCCTGACCGTGACAATCGAGCTCCGAAATGTATATCTGTGCCCTCAAACCTATAGAGATCGGGACAGCTCAGGATTGCAGCGAGGGGCTTCACATTAGACGAAACTGACTCACCTGAAGGCAGACTGGTTACGGAGGGCGGGTTGGAGACTTTGTTGGAAAAACGCGTACATCACGATAGTCTTGAAAATTCGCAGCGAAAATCACACCGTAAGCATCTAATCGTTCGGTTCTTCAGATGCCGTCAGTCACTGTCCCCTATTAGAGATTGTATATCCTACCAATGCTTTCTTCGAGCAGTTCTTCGGAAGGATCTCACACAGTCGAGTTCTGTTGGTCCTGCAAACGCAATGCTCAGTGGGAATTGCGCCTCTTAATTTCGGAGATTCGGTCGGGACGGCGATCGTATACCTCCTCCCTTCCCCCCGCATTCTTCGTTCTTCTCTTACCAGAAATCGACACAGGTTGTGATGCTGGGAAACTCCAGATCTTGATCCGGTATTTCTTGCTGACTGACGCGGGTCCGGCGTTCTCCATACTGAATGTAGAGCTCGGATACCTGCAAACGAAGGAAGCCGATGCTTGGGGCTCGGAGGTTTCCCTCCAGTTCCACGGCGAGCCTCTGCTCCTACCTGGAGGTAAACTATCAGAACGCATATGACGCAGAAAAATATCGCGCCGAAAGATCTCGCTCCCGCCATCTCCTCAGCAAACGTTCGGAACAAGCCGAGGCAGCGAGCTTTGAAGAGCTCCTGTTGCTCTGCGGGGACTCGGTGATAATTAGGAGCCTCGAAACCCACATAATGCTCATCCCGCCGATTCTCAATGAAGGTGCATCGACTCCATCGCTAACGATGTCTAGTCGGAATCGGTAATCTGTATGAGACTGCGCATCGGTCGAGGAAGCAGATCGATGACGCCTTCTGGAACATGAAGCTCAATCGGCAGTGGAAACCACGGGCAGAGTTGCTTTGGCACGCTGACTCCTCCGATAGCCTTGACAACTCCGCGACCCATCATCTCCTCGATGACAGACCTGAATATGCCGGCGACCATGGGTAACCACCAGGGATTCTTCCGATTGGAGCTCCAGCCGAGAGCCGGGTCCCCCGCCGATCATCAGCCTCCCTTCGGAATGCCTTTTTCATACATGGTCGAGAGTCCTGAAGCTGTCGCGTGCTATGGCCAGACTTGCTTGTCTTCTTACCGCTTCGCTGCCATGGCGTGACGCGTGACTTGCGAAAACTGTTCCTGGAAGTTGAAAAACAGAAGAGCGAAAGCGATGCGGCAATTAGGAAGTACTTCGGGAACCACTGGGGATCTCGTAAGGGGACGAGTCAGACAACTAACTTAGGTCCATTACTGAAGTCGATTCTGTTCCATCCAGACCGAGGGAGCTTCCCGCAATATCAGAATCAAGCACTTCCACGCTGAATCAGCAGATCCGACTCGCCCGGCTTCGTCGAGCCTCACTCAGAAGAAGCACTCCATGAACAAAATATACTTTCGAAAGATATTCTATGCTCTTTATCGAGGAAAGCAAATATGCTCGAGCATTATCAATTATTATGAATCGAGAAGGACGATCTGACGATTCCCGGGCATCGTGACCTGTCGGAATTAATCATCAAGTCTTTCTCCGCTTCACTTGCACCGCTCGTCGCTCTAGCCGTCTTGCGCGGCGTACGATATGAAATGGAGATGAAATAAAGAGCTTCTTTTACGGAATGAGCTCCGTGGAGGGTCACACCCAGGCCAAAACCCGCAGGTTTTCCAAAACATAAATGAGGGCTATCGCCTTTCATCCGAATTATCCCCGTGCCGGCGACGGGTACGCCAAATCCGATCACCTAGTCTCCTTATCCCGTCCTAAAGGTTCCACTGCGCGATTCCGAGAGCCCTTCCGCGGGAGAGAAAGATCACGAGCTGCCGGGGCCGTCGATGGCCCTTCATCGATTGAGTATCCTCGTTGCCGATCTCTGTGTGTGAGCGCGCACGCTCCAATCGACGAGCGCAGTTTATTTTTCGAATTTTGGCGCCTCTTCGCGCCAAAACAAGGGTTCTATTATCGTTTTCGAAAGAACGTGTAGCAGCTTCGACAGCGGGTTGGTGTCGTCCTGCTTTCCGTCAAAATTTGAATACGTTCGCGTTGTCGCGCACGGTGCCCAACTTCACTTCGATCAGTGTAGTTTCGTAACGCTCGATTTTAGTTCAGTAATTCAGACGAGCCCGACGGACATCAGTCATGTCCAATTTTTCATTCGGTTCCGCGCCACAGAATCCGTCCGGCTTCGGATTTGCATTCAACCAAAAGTAAGGACCCATCCAGAGATTGAATACTTGACGGGGTAGCGAGTCCATCGAGGACGCTCCCGGGCTATGGGACGAAGCAGGGTCGCCGTCGCTACTCTCTAGAAGCTGAAGGATTCCTCGGTTCTTGCCTCTCGCGCTGCGGGAACTGTGAGGAGCATGATCTCGAGGGGATGAGCGAGCTCGGCTCGTTCCGGTTCTGCGAGTTATCGTGATCTCGCGGTTTCCGACGAGACCGAATGCATTCTCCGGTCGAAGTCGAAGCCCAAGGACCCGATCTCAGGATGATACTGTTCTCTCGACGTACTGCATGGGTTGAACTCAGCTGGGCCATGACCCAGGGTTCTTCGTTCAGAATGGCTTAATGAGTAAATCTTCTCTCCCCAGCCAACCCACGGCTCCTGCGTTCGGGCAGCCGGCCCCCACCTCAGCCCCTACAGCATTCGCTTTCGGGTCCACAACCGCAGCCTCGACGGCTCCTAACGCTAATCCCTTCGGGGCCTCACAAGCACCGGCTCAGTCAACCCCGGGCAAGTTCACGTTCGGTCAGAGCGCAACTTCCCCTTTCGGCCAGACATCCTCAGCACCGGCTTTCGGATCCACTCAACAAGCGACAACGAGCACTTTCGGTGGGTTTAACGAACTTCCGCTTCGTATGCGGGGGCAGCAGGAGCAGCGACTCGTTGCGAAATCCGAGAAGGAGCTGTCATTCAGTCGAGGTGTCATTTCCAGGAGTCCAACAACAAGCGACCGGTCAGGGATTGTTCGGGTCAACGTCAACTTTCGGATCACCACAGGCGACGTCCTCTTTCGGGGCCTTCGGTCAAGCGTCGACCCCTGCGAGTGCCCCGAGTTTCTCCTTCGGGAACGCGGCTCCCTCGACCTCGACAAATGTATTCGGCTCGACAAATGCGACGTCCACGTTCGGTGAGGATTTTTTTTCCATCGAACTCTGAAGTTCCCGAGTATCCTCTTCTTGAGTCATCCGGTCCCTGCAGAAATGTTCGGGGAGATCCTTTGGTGGGGTTTTCTCTCCGTTCCAACTCTAGGTCTCGTGATCAAAATTCTATCCTTCCCTTAGGCAACCCACAGACAGGAGCTTCAACCGGCAGCTTCGCCTTTGGCCAGCAGCAGCAACCTTCTACCACGGCCCAATCACCGGCTTTCTCGTTCAGTCAACCTGCGGGACAACAGCAAACACCTGCCGTGGGCACCGGTACGTCGTTTTCCACCTTCGGATCTCCTGCCGCACCGGCGTTCGGACAAACCACATCCAACACTCAATCGACCGCAGGCTCGGCTTTCGGAAGTCCCGCTCCCTCGGCTTTCGGTCAGCCGGCGGCAACGGCAGGTTTGACTTTCGGTCAACCCGCTGCGACGACTGGTTTGACCTTCGGACAACCCGCTGCGAGTACGGCATCTGCATTCGGCCAGCCTTCCGCATCCACTTCCGCTTTCGGTAATCCAGCTGCAGGACTGCAGCCGGCCTTTGGTCAGGCCACCGCGGGAACGTCTAGCGGTTTCGGTCAACCTGCGACATCAGCTTTTTCCTTCACCGGGAATCAGCAGGCCTCGAGTGGGATCTCGTTCGGTTCAACGGCACCCGCGGCGACCGCGTCCACGGCCGCACCGGGATTCGGTTTCATGCAAGCGGCGGCTCAGCCGAGCACCACCACGACTGCCACTCTGGGCTTCGGTAAGTCGTCTTCGCCTCCCGGGTCCACTACACTGAAGACAATGATGAGACGATACTTGAATTGGGAATGACGGAACCTTTTTCGCAGGTCAAACTACCACCGCGCCGGCAGCCCCGACGACCTTCGCGTTCGGTCAGCCGGCGTCGTCGGCGAGCGCAGGCTTCGGGACAACGACGCCGAGCTTCGCCTTCGGATCTTCAACGGCGACGACATCTGCTCCGACTTCTGCACCTTTCAGTTTCTCCTCGGCGACGAATCAATCCGCAGGTGCTACTCCTGCTCCGGGGAGCTTCTCCTTTAACACGCCAGCTGCAGCCCCTTCCACAGCCGCAGGTGTCACAGCCGCTGCCGCCCCCTCGATGTTCACCCTCGCTCCCACTACAACAGCGGCGACCGCAAGTGCAACATTTGGAGGCAGTGCTGGATTTTCATTCGGGGGAGCTGGCGCCGGGGCCCCGGCTGCTCCAACGACGGCTGCTGCACTGCCAACGGGACAAAATGCTCCAGCTGCGACGGCCGCTCCATCAACGGTCGGCAGTTTCTCTTTCGGCGCTCCCGCGACCACAGCGACCGCGGCGACCACTGCCGCGGCGCCTGCTGCCGCCTTCTCTTTCGGGGCAACACCTGCTGTGGCAACAAGCTCGACACCTGCCCCGCAGACGGCGACGACTTCCGCCCCCGTGGGCACGTTCAGCCTGGCGGCCACCACGACAGGTGAGCTCCGATGCCGTACCAATCGAGGACCGCACCACGCGGGGTTCGAGCCAAGGCTCAATCCGGCATGGTCGCCCCGTGTCTGATCCTTACCCTCTGGAATATTAAGCTGCCCAGCGAGAATTCCCTCGATCGTCAATACGACAGTCTCATGCCTTTGCAGCTCCCACGGCAACGACAACTGCAGCGCCAGCTGCGCTTTCCTTCGCCTTTGGTGCCCCGGCGGCTACCACGACCGCCACGACGGCCGCCGCAACAACTGCTCCCGCGACTTCAGGTGAGGACTCGAATATCCCCGTCGTGACTTCGATCTGGATGAATGTGCTCGTGCCTCTCGAGGGATCTCTACACATTCCATGTGGTCGATGTTATCATTTTGGGTCATTTATGGCTGGTGACATGAAGGCGCTCGCATTCGCTCATATCGATCGCTGACTCTTTTGCAGCTCCTCTGCCGAGCACTACCGCTGCTGGAGGGGCGGCCACCTCGACGGCTGCACCATTGTCCTTCTCGTTCGGCGCCGCTGCGAAAACTACGCCAGCTACCCAACAGAGTGATTCGACAGCGACCGCGGCGACAACGAGTGCAACGACGGCACCAGCTTCGTCGACAGCGACAACGACTTCGGCTACGATGACGTTCGGCATTGCGACAGCCTCCACGACTGGTGGGAGTTCCGCGACCACATCCACGGCCGCCGCCACCACCACGAGTCTCACTAGTGCGGCGCCGGCACCGACGGAACCCCCAAAACCGAAAACCGTCAAAGATGAGGCACTGCCGATGGAAATCCAACAGCTAGTCGAAGCCCTAGAGAGACATCTACTCCAACAGAAATCCCTGCGAGACGAGCTCGACAAGACCACGCTGATACCCGTGGAAAAGTCCCAGGCAGAGATCGACGCCCTACGGCTCGTTGCGGGCCGAATTGAAACCACGCTGCAGCGCAATCACGGCTCGTTGAGAAAACTCAAGAATGACTGCTTAGAAGAAAGGAGCAATTGTGAACTGGCCATCAAAACGAACCAATTGCGAGTGTCCGGAGGAACGGGTGTCTTTGAGGATGGGAAGCAGAATGAGTATTTCCAAAAAATGGTGATGGAGTTCCATCAGAGGGTGCGCCTCTACCGTCAACAAATTTTAGAGCTTCAAGGCCATTTCGGCAACAACGCCCAAAGCTTGAACAACAACGGCACAATTCACACCACAAACGATGTCAACATGATACTTAAGAAGTCATACGAGACGTTCGTTACGCTAGCCTCGCAGATTTACAACCTCCACGAACAGGTTCGTTCGAGTTCGACCTCCCGTGATCTTCATCGCAGTGCGCTATTCTTCATTCCTCTCCAGACATCTTGGATTTTTTCCCCTCCGTTACGAATCTTCGATTCTCCACAGACTCTGCGTGCTGATGAAGACTTCCAGAAGCGACGACGCCATACCGCGATAACTTCGATCGCTCTCGAAATCCCGAAAGCTCGCGGAGAATCGCCCGCAAAAAGAACTCAGTACGAAAGCAAATCGATTTCTCCGAACAGAATGTTCTCGCGGAACAATCAAGTAAGTTCACCCGGGCTCAGAAATGCATCAGCTCGAACGGAAACGTCGGGACTCATGGCGTGGAACGGGAACGTAACGGCCTGAACGATTCTCAGAGCTTTTGGAATGACGAAGCCGATCATTATAAAACACTCTCCTTCAGATGGCGAACGCTCTGCACAACATCAGTTTGAGAGCCGGTCTTGATTCATCCTTCGATCCCGTTCATGGGGCGATGCAGTCTTCGGCGACCTCGCCGCCGGTCGCGTCCATCTTCACCCCTCAACATCCGACGGGTGCCATGGGAATGTTCGGTAATTATTATTTTCTGTAGATGGGAGCAGAAACTCGAATTCGATCTTAACCAGCCAGTTCCTCAGCCCCAATCCCGTCAGAAACATGAACTTATCGGTCGATTTCCATAGGAGGCGGTGCAACGATGAATCAAAGCGTTCTCGGAGCAGGACCCACAAACCTCTTCGGCGCGAATGCGAGCTTCAACGCGACTCAATACGGAAGTCCAATTCAACTCCAGAGTCCGCCCGTGGGCAACAAACGTGGCAAACGTTGATAGACATCAAAATAGCTTCGAGACTCCGTTCCCGAGAGATGGTGACGAGGACCTTATTTTGGCAGCTCGTGTGAGCCAAAATGCTGCCACTGTTCTCCGGAGCGTTTCTCCGATTCTCCCTCTTAGATCATAAGAAAAGAAGCATTTGTTCCTTATAATTTTTTGAAATTCCTATATCTGGATTGTTTTTCTACTACCAGAAGGCCGTCATGTGACCCTCATGGGTCGTTTCGGACGACGAATCGATGGGCGCGCTGAAGTCTTTGAATGTATAGAGATGGAAGAATAGAAACGAACGCCCAAGTTTGTAAAAGACGTTAGCTGCACGCGATCCTTCCGAGTTCGCTGTCGAGATACGGAACGAAACATGTACAGGAGCTTAGACGAAATATGTATCGCAGATGCAATGTGTAAAACGATGCAGATGGGTCGACTAATGAGTTCGGTCTGATCGACCGTGGAGAGACCGTAAAGAATATCTTCAAGTTTTTCGTGTTTTTTGCTTGCCGCTGATTTTCCGAGAATCTTCGAACATCATTCAATTCGAGTCTGGCGCGTCCAATCCGATGCGAGGCCCGGAGCGCTCACCGCTACCACACATGAAAACACCATTCTGATCCATGACATAGATTAGAGGAAGCCACGAATGCTGGGCTCGTCTCGAGATATTCGCCAGGACCACGGAGAGAAGCCGCGGGTGCGCGGTAGAATACACCCCCGGTCCTTCGGACTTGATTCAGGATTTGGGAAAACGAGTCGAGATGCTGTTTGATCCGCTCTCTGCCTTCCCTTGTTTCTCCGGAGCGGTGAGGGAAGTTCTTCTCGAGCCTAGAATCGCACGAGCTCGGCATGTTTCCTTCGCAGCTGCTGTTCCCATCTTTTCACCGCTCCCGAAAGACAGTGTTCCTCGCCATCCGGAGCTCTCCGCAGAATGCTCCCTCAATCAAGGAAAAATTTCGAACATACGAGATGTCAACTGAGGTCATCGGTTCCGGAACGCTAGAACCGAATCAGGGAGAAGCTCATTCGGGGAACGAGTCGAGAGCCTCCTCTCCGTAATTCTTGGCAGGTAGGTAGATGGATTCAGCCTCGAAGTGTCAGCTAGGGGTCACTCACGACGTGCGAAGTGAGACCACGGGAATCATTTGAGGGGTTCAGAGCTTGGAGCGACGTTACGCAAAGACGGAGGAACAGTCGAGAAGACAGCTGCTCCTCTGGGCTCTGAGTGATCGGAAAAAGACTGTACCCAAGGAAGAATTCGGAAATAACTTCACGGAGCCGGCGTGGGCGGCAGTCGCCTTCTTTCACTGGCTCTCGGAATATCAACGGCTGTCCCGCCTACCTCAGCCCGACGGGAACGCGATCTTAGAATCGTCGCTTGCTGCGAAGCGAAAGTACCAGAGCCACGGAGACCGCTCGTGGTTGGAACACTGGTGACAGAATATCAGAATATTCCACAGGAAGCGCTTTCTTTCGTTCCTTGCACGGAAGCATCCGAATCACGCGGCATCCGTTCATATACTACGAGAATACAAATCATCATGAAATTAGTTCGTGGACGCTATACACGTATACACGAGTAGAAATAATCCCCGCTCTTCATCCAGGAACGCATCTCAGCTCCGAGGGGGCGGAACCGTCCAAGGATAACATTTAGTTAATCGATCGGGAAAACAACCACGTTTTCTCTGCGGTTTTCACCCGCGGCTCGTTTAGAGCGGTTCTCAGGTTAATCGATGTTTGATGGGCCCATATTAATCACGAGTACCGTACGTCGGTCCCCCCAGTCACTGTTCGGCCTGTAGGACGAAGCGAGACTCGGATCGGAGCACTATTGAAGCCTGCGTTCGACTCCAGCGGTGTCGGATGGGGGAGAAGGGGGTCACTTCTTCAGTTTTCCGTCTTATTTCGCTAGGCTGTGTGAGTTCGAAACATTGGGGCCCTCGATTCGTGGGACCAGTTCCAAGTCTAGAGACGAGATGCTCACATGAAGTTGCGTTTGGTCGGTGGGGAACTCCGCCGAACAACCGACACCTTTGCGAATCAGATACTGTAAATCCCCCCCACAAGAGCTCCCTCTGAATGGTTTTCCCTCTCTAATTAATGCTTCACCGCAGAGGCTTCTCGAAAGAGAGAAGCCTTCCTCTAGCTCAAGCCCTCACCTCTGAGACAATCTCTTGCCCCCGACCTTGAGACGTGAAATCATGAATTGTGTTCATTGTTCGAGCTGATGCTCATCTTGTCGATTCTGCTATTGTCGTATTTCACTCGCCGATTCCAGGAGCTCTCCTCCAGAGTTCTGCGATAACCTTTCCGATTCGGAATACTCTCTGAAACAATACCAGCCTCGCTCCTATCGTAGACCCCCTCCTATAGAAACCCCTCCGCTAAGTCTTTTGAAGAAATTAAGCCCCGGCCTGAATTGAGAGGTTTACGGTAGTCGCATTCAAGTGGTGTTGTGATTGAGTCGACCATGTCGATGGTCTAGATTGCACTTGCTCGACGCCACAAAAACGCGGAGACGCGCTCTCAAAGAGGCGAGAACAGGAGGTCACATCAATTTTGAACGCGGACAGCGTCGTCTAATTCTTCCGTTCTGAAAAGGACCGAAAGTCGTCTCGCCCTGTCAGGTCCGAATGATCGCCGTGGATTATCTCTGTTGTCTCCTGCGTCACGTCGCGGGTCGTGTAGCTCGACGGCGACAATAACTGGGATGTAATTAGCACCTAATTGCCACGTCTGGAAGCTGTGAGAATCTGACGCCCTAAACTTACAGAAAATGATTGTTGGCGCGTGGTAATTTCCCGACGAGTGAATCGTGTGTCCGCCGGGCAGACGCTTTGGACTCCCTCGAGCCGCTCCGTTGCAGTCTGGCCCCGAAAGTTATTCCTCGCTGCTCACCACAAGGGAACGCTCGTTGAAACCCGTTAGCCGGACATCCGAGCGCCAAGAGAGAACACCGAACAATTCCAGGAACATTAGTTCTGCCGTTTCTAGACGTACCTTGCGGTGACAGCGGCTCGTTTCGTTGGGAGGAGCTCGAAGCTGGCGACCGGTGACCGCTAAGATAAGTAATCGACTCGAGTTCACCTGGCTCAGAAGAGAACTCAAAAGATAGGAGGGGCTGCTTCGAGTTTCGAATCCAGAGGAGACAGCGGAAAGGTCGCGGAGGGGGAGCACAATTTTCCTGTAGGTGCCGTATTCGAAACCTTCCGGCTGAAAACAAGAGGACCGCGAGGTGAGTCTGAAGGCTTTCTTTCGCCGCCGTCAGATCGGGACGATACAAAAAACCTTCGTCCAAGAGGAGATTCCCCCCTCGAGTCTGCCTATCTGATGGCTGCAGGAGCGGAGGAAAGTACTGTGAGGCGTCTCCAGCCGGCGTTCAGGTGGGCGTTTTCCGAGCGGCTCAGTCAGACATGATGAGGCTCAGTCACAATCAAGACTCTAATTACCATTCCACGCAACTCGGACCCGATTCTAACTTGCTTCGCCTTTGCCTCCGCGTGATTCGAGTTAGCGGAGTTAGCAGATTCAGAGCGAGGTCTCCGTAGCAGCAGGTGCTCGTATCGATCCAGAAAATACGGAAAAGGAGACACCTGCGTATTTGCGTACGTCTTCTGAGTTTAATCCCTGGAGATTGCTAACGACGGAGCGTGTTGTGGACATAGTGGAAAGCACTTCGGGAAAATTCGGAAGAACTATCCGTCTTTGGGCCTTGCGGCGCTCCGAATCGGTCGCATGATACAGAGACCGGCTTCCGTAGGCCCTTGATGACAATCCCCACTGAGCAAACATGCACAAAGAATGCGCGATCCATATCATGGTCGCAGGGGAAATCACAACAGATCGTGATGGTATTTGCATCGAGATCGTCGACCATCGAACTCCGAAATGCCAAAACTTCACCTCTCCCGGTCACTCGTCGTAATGTGAGCGTTCATGAGTCACAAATTATGTGGCCCAATTATCAAGCCTCGAGACTGTTTTTTTCGAGAGGGGTATCGCAACGAGGCGACGCTGGCGCCGCACCGCTCGAATGGGTGACGACGTCCCCCCTAGGTAGGTTCGGCGTGAGCTGCTGGGACAATACGCAGGTTCCGGTCCTGATCCCTTCCCTGCGCATCTGCTCTCCGGGATGCGTTCACGGAAGCAATACCTCTCCGGCGATACAGCGAGCCTCAAATTTTGGCTGTGGGGCTCAGTCCGCGAGAGTCTTGATGAGAGACGATAGAATCCTGATTACCTCAACGGAACGAAGTCAGGAAATTGCCTGCGATTCCTACGTTTGAGCTCGCAGAGTGTCAGCAATTCACTGGCAGCGTGCAACATATGTGTATCCCGCCCGGTCTTCACCGAGCGCTTCGTGGAATGATTTGGTAGACTCAGTCAGGACGACAGTCCCGCCCGAATTTCTCCGCTCGAGAGCAATCCCGAAAATCTGCAAAATTTGAGGATGGAGAGGATGCACGAAAGGAAAAACGGAATACCCGAGAAATAAAACATTTCCGAAGACGTCTTGAGTCATTCCTATGAGTTATGAGAGTTATGAATCATAACTTGATGTCGAAGCCCCGGTTTCTACCCAGATCGCTTCTAACTCCTTCTGTCCCCAGACCACAATCGGATCTTGCGACGCTCCGCCGCAGGGAATGTAGCTCTTGTCTCGCAAGGAGAAGGAGAAGGGACTTGCTGAATTCTCCGAGATGGAAATCAGCTGCCGAGCTCCCTGGAAAGCGATCCTGAAAAGTTCTGTCACAGATGGGACACACGAAAGTAGTACTTTTCGCAGGATTGGGGTGGAATTCATACGGAACTGAGGCGTTTTCAGCGCTCCGATCCCCCCATGTCAATTGGAACATGATCCACGTAGTCGATGCTCGTCGTACTCTCCCGAGGCTAGTCTCGCATTCGTCAGTCGAATATCCAAAAAAAAACTACCCTCATGCATCGACTCAGTGCCAGCCGTGAAAAATACTTTCGGTTTGAGCCCCTCATCCCCTTCCCATTGTCGGCGGTCTCGATCGGAGTCGGCTTTGGCTGATTGTTGATCGGATTCGAAAAGCTCCGCGACTATTTATACGCAGATTCGGATGGACGAGTCACGCTATGGAGCCGTAAAACTCTTTAACATAGTGGAAATTCAGGTCCTGTCATCATTGATAAGCCTCCCGGAGGATATCCAGAGGACACTTGTGTGAGACTGTGTGAGGAGTTGGGCTCTCCGCAAGCACTTCATCCGCTATTACCTCTGCAATGTGCGCTCTGAATAGTTTCGTTCAAAATTAGTGCGAATCCAGATGGATGTGCATCCAT